AAACAAATCCAATGAATAGAAAAAGAAACTATTAACATGTTTAAACATAAATAAATTGAATGAATTATAATTTTATGAATTATAAATCCAAATCGTGTTTCCCAAAAGTCCATATCAATTGAATTTAATAATTTTGTTTATACAATATACTTATATTAAGATCTCAATGAATATATATACATATTAAATCTAGAGCTTGATTGATACTACTTTTTTCTTTCAAATTATTTGTTATGACTTTTTTATACATTTCTAAAAAAAATATTAATTGAAATTTTTAAAAACTAATTTATTCTTTATTTATATTTAAATAATCATCATAACATCATCTTATAATTTACTTGTTTATAGCCTTCAAAAACAATAATTATAAGGGTAAAATAAAATAAAATAAAATAAATTTTGTCTTAGAGTTCCTATAATAACAAATAATTAGAGAAAAATATTTTTAGAAAGTGCGACATATTTGAGAGGAAAGAAATAATATTTGAAATGCTTGTTTTTATTTTTGTATTTGTTTAACCCGAAGATCACACTTTTTTCTCTCTACTGATGATTTAAATCGTAATCTTTTAATCCCTCCCTAAAAGATGACACCTGTTTTTTTCTTTCTATTTTAGTAATTCAAATGCACAAACTTAAAATTTAAGATAAAGAATACTTAACACTCCGATCAATTCCTTCATGTCTTTTGAGATTTCATACCAACTTTTTTGTCATGTGGTTTAAATTAAAATGAAAAAATAGTGAAAATGATATATATATCTATATTGGTGTGCTTTCAAATAGTTTTGGGAAGTACAAGAAATTGTATTAATTGGTATAATTACTTCTACTTGATATCTATAAGTGGGATAGAGACCCTGTTGACAGTAGCCTGTGGACCATCTTCAATTCTCCTATAACAATTGATGAGTATTTCTTCTTTTTTTTCTGCTCCAATTCCCCTTTTGGTTTGTATTTTTCTACTTTGGCTTTATTTGTTTCCAGTATTTTTCTCTTATTTTCCTACTTCTAATAATTACCTTAAAATCAAAATAATATTTCCTATATATTTGTATAGCTTTGAGAAATGTTAGAGATACATTTGGTAATGGACCATCTATATATCTTTTCTTTTTCTCTAATAATGGATGACACTGACATATGTCTATTGATATCATGTTAAAGTGCACTATCATCGACCTGTTGTTAAATTAATAATGAATGGTGATAATAAATATCCATCAATATCGTATTGAAGTGTGTAATTATCATTTCATAAATAATCCAAGTTATTAAAGTGCATTACTAGCAGTATAATTTAGCTGTTAGGATAAGGTTTTGAACAATTCTTAAGAAAAATTAATTAGTCGTATGATTTAATCTATATATCTATCAGTAATTATTTTATTTATTTATATCGCCACTTTATTTTAAAATAGTTAACACTTAATACAAAGACGTAGATTTTTTTTATTTCTTTTTTGACAAATACTTTTTAGGAATAACTAATTTTAGTAATATTAAATAGAAACGGTGGGAGTCTAGTAATTCTTAATATGGTAGTTTTTCAAGAGATGTTACACTAATCTTTGTGTAAATATATATTTTCTGATTGCTCCTACAACAGATAGAGTGAAACTTGAACCTTCAGATTATATATTTTAGAAAGAAAATATAAATTCATCAATTTATTTAAGAATATATTGCATCTAACTTATCATAGTTAGAATAATTATGATGAATTAAAACTGAGCAAATATTAGTTAAACTTTAAAATATGAGCTGAGTCAATTACATTATTGTAGTATGAAAGACTAAATAGTAGTGAAGAAAGTCAATTATGTTTGAGAATATAATTAAATAATATTAAACGTATTGTTCTAACCTTTTAAGCTTTTAAGTAGATGATATTGTTATGCACTTGGATAGATTAATGTATGAAATTAGTATCTCGTTGGTTTTATTTTACTTGATCCGTGTTGACCTGACATCATTTCCTTTAATTAAAGATATAGTTTATTAAATTAATTTTGTTAATGATGCTTTGAAACTAAATTCTAGATTTGACTACTACTACAACGTAGATTATAAGTAACATAGCAAAGAATCAAAAAATCTATATATAGTTAATATAAAAGCTGAATAAAATACTAAACAAAAGGAAAACTGTGACTAAATTGCATGGAAAATCAGAAAATGCATATGCTTACTTCTGGGGATTAACTTGGAGTGTATTTGACATAAATCTAAGAATTAAGTAAACTGAAAAATCTATTTTTTAATACAATAAGTCGATAATCAAGTAATATGAAATAGAGAGTATAAGCTAACGAATCTAAATTTTTCGGTATTTATCTGTTTTCGTGCTTCTTAAAATTTGTATGAATGTATATGTTTGATACGGAGGAAAATCTTTTTTTTTTTCATTTAGGAAAATAACTTCATTGGTGGTGGTGCTAGTAAAGAAAACAAATAATTTCATAAGTAGTTGATGATATTATTTTCACCTTACCCCGTATTATATCATATAGTATCGTTTACTGAAAAATAAGTAAGAAAATCACTTATATTGTCGTTTGGTTATTGTTGTTGCAGGAGTTACTATCGATGTACGCATAGTAATTGTAGAGTGAAAAAGAGAGTTGAAAGATTATCAGAAGATTGTCGTATGGTAATAACTACTTATGAAGGTAGACATAACCATTCTCCTTGTGATGATTCTAACTCTTCTGATCATGATTGTTTCACCTCGTTCTAATATTATTATTATTATTCTGTATATAAGTAGTACCTAGCTACGTACCCCTATATATTATTATTATTATATTATATAGTTTTTATAAGGAACAGCAACAACAATGTCACAACGAATCATATACTATATATTTTGTGTCTACCTTCATGTTGTTATGGTGGATAAATTTACTATTCGTTATGTTAGAGGTTTTTTTTTTCCTTATTATGTATGGCTAGCTATAGCTCGATGTAGTCAAGACCATGATTTAAATTTATATTGATAAATAGTGGACATTTCTCGTTTGTTGTTTTTCTTTTATTTATATTAAAATTGAAACCTTTAAGTAAATTGATCACGTTAGTTCTTGTTGTGTTTGGTCGGGAACAAGTTATCCAAAGAATAATTATTTTGAGATAACTTATCCCAAACATGACACCAAATTTTTATCAGGACTATTTATTCTAATCCGTCACAACAAACGATTATATTCACATTTGGTCATTACTTAAGTCATGATAACGTAAGATAGGACGAGGGGAGAAAACAATTTATAAGATATTTATATATTTTATGTGAGAGTCTAGTACTAATGTGCTATTGATATTTGATTCATGATTAATTAGCATGTACGTTTATTGTGGAAGTAATTAGTAATGTTTACTGGTAAGTACACCCTTAATTATAGCAGTAAATCTTTTTATGTACTTTAGTTAACGGGACTCTAGTCTTCTAATATTACTAGTTTGTTATTTGAATCTTCTATTCAGTTGAAGTAGAGCTTAAGTTTAGCATATATATTATGAGTGACATCACATATACTCAGGCTTGTTTTAGTGTTTGATTGAGCACCTCCAACATTAATCGAAATAATCGATAGATTGAGGATTCGAGTCACGCGAAAACATTATTGATCTTCTTGATTGATGAATGGGGTGCGGAGAAAAAGTAGAAGAATATGAAGTTGGAGATTCATTTCTTAGACATGACGAAAACATAGTATAGTAATTTATAGTCTAAAGTCAAGTTCAAAAATGATTATGTTAAAGTACAAATATTCTATGAATATGAGGGAAGTTTGGTTTCAAAGTAACTTATTGTAGGTAAAATAAAATACTCTTGGTGAAGTTGAAATGTCATAAATCAATCGATTTCTTGTATTGACCATAGTAGAGATAAAAACAAATATATCTATTTTTTGATTGTTACTTGAAAAAACATTATCCTCATTCCATAACTTGTTTTGAGAGTTTCACCAATCCTAATTAAACACGCCAATTTATTTATATGAAAGAAAGAAATAATTTGTATTTGCTGTTAAAAGTAGTTGAAGATAATCTTGATTCTCGACTCTTCTAAAAGACTATTGTGGACAAGCTTTCAAGATCAGAAAGGAAAATGTGACAGTTTGTTATTCTTATCTAGAAATTAGTAATTTCGAAATGTTATTCCACATAGAGTGTGAGATAAAAACAATAATCTAGGAATTGTTAATTTCAGATTTAAAAATTGTATCAAATTTGGGACAGGACAATTTCGTAGGTATTGTTAATGATTTCTTTTTCCACCAACCAAAGAACATATCCGATGTTTAATCCATTGTCTCATAGTCGAATCTTGAAATCCTATCGTAGTCGAATCTTGGAAACCACGATAGGGATAATAATGCATCTATCTTTTAGGCAATTTATACTAGGTTCTTTTCCTCCAAAATTCTTCACCTTTTAAAAACAACACAAACATGTGAGTTGTGATATGGCTAAAGTGATTAATAGTACGTTAGATAGATATTGTCAATGTCTTTTTTATGCATTGACCTTACACTAAGGTGGCAACTAATGACCAACATTATCAGTTTATCACTACTGTACTGTGTCACCCCAACTGGGAAACACATGACTTTGCACCACTACTATCGTTCTATTGTTACAATTCGTCTTATAATAATAATAAAAATAATTGTGAAGCAGCGTTGAATGAGAGTCCGAGAAGAGGGTACTGATCAAACATGATGCGTGGTAAATATATACGTTGATAGTATATATGTTGGTGTATGTTTCAATCACTAACATACGTTGTAGATACCACAGCTCAACTTCCCCTTGAAAAGTTGTAGTAATGTCAGTTTTCGAGCCTAATTTCACCACCTTATGTCATGTAAAGAATCCCTTCGCGTAAATCAGTCTATACTTTAACAAAACTTGCAACACCAACTACAATATAAAAGAGAAACGGAATTTATACAGCATTACCAAAAAAAAATGATGAGCAGCGACCATGATTTAAGGACCTCCAGATTAGGAGAATGCTTGAGCAATAATATCATAACTTGCATTAAATCGTTATCAACATATAGCCACAATTTAAAGACTTCAGCAAAGTGACCTTGCAAAGCAGGGGATCTTTAAGTGTCGAAGCAAAACAATACTAGAATTTTGGTATCCTGCTTGATACTTCCCATAGGAAAAAGACATGACCTTCCTAGTTACTCTATAGCAGTTCAAGCATGGAAAGGAAAACCACAATTGAAGTTTCATAAGCATCACAGCCACATGAAATTGCTTATAGTCTGGTTGGGACTGGAATCTTTAAGACTAAGTCGAGTCATTTTGAATATCTATTGTACCAGTTATGAGATCTTTGCTTGGGCTTGGCATCAAGAAACGTCAGAACAACGTGTGAAGAAGTTCTATGGAAGTTCAAGACTTCCTCTGATGCTTCTTGTGACTTATCCATGTTTATTTCCCAGAAAATCATCAGTTTTTCCAACACTCGTGCATTCTTCAGGAAAAACTTCAGTAGTTCTATCTCTTTTTCTTCACCTTTGAAACCAGTCAAATGAATTGATTTTAGATGGGATTCCAAGCACACAATGCTTTCATCGAGATCAAGCAGCTGCCAATCCACACTCTCGTCTACACTCTAGCAGACGGTTGAGAAACCACTTAATCGGGCATAGTAATCTCTTATATCAAAACAGCAATAAATGAATCACGATAATTAATCATTCAGCAGTATAGGCAACCATTCCTCGATTAAAAGTGGAAATGTCAAACAGGATTCATTTTCAAAATGTCTTGGATCATCTACTTCTCTTTGGATTTTTCTTTTCCCATAAGTTCTACTAACGCATTAAAATATCCAGTGATCTATTCACTCACCAGGATTTATGTTTGTATGCAGCAGTAATGTCCCTTTAGACCATATATTTTGTGCATGAACACATTTGAAACACATCTCCTAAGTTCTAGCATTGAAATAAGTTGATTTTAGAATCTCTCAGTGTAAATTTCTCAACTTATCAACTTAATGCTCCCTAAAGTTGTAATCATCTTAATTCTTCTCAGACTTTCCCCACATTACTTTACAGTTAAAATCTATTTCAAACATTAAAATCCATGAAGTACTATGATTCAAACATTAAAATCAATGCAGCAAATGTTATTCAAACTGACATGCCAACTACAAAGTGTGTGTTAAAAATAATAATTGAAGATTAAAAAGATCCTCCCTCTCATTGTGGCATGTAAGATTTTTGGTGAGTGGAATTTGCTTGTTAGGGTCAAATTACTCGAAAATAGAGATAATGTAGCATTATTCCAAAGACATTGCAATTATAAGTCTACGCTTCCTTGGAAGATTTAGTGATGTCAGTTTTCAAGCCTAGTTTCTTACCTTCTTATCTTGAAAGAACCCTTTCATGTTAATCAACCTCTGGTTTTACTTACAAGTCCTTCTGACTAACTACCATATAGAAGAAACAGGTTTTCTACAGAAGAATTAGTTAAAACAATAACGACAGTTACCTCATCCGACCACAATTTAAGAACCTCCAGATTTGGAGAGTACTTGAGCAATAGCATCATCATTTGCATAGACTCTTCATAAATTACTACTTCCAGTTTTAGGGACTTCAGCTTATAAAAAGAGAATGGAGAGAGTTTTATTCTGCGAGCCACATGATACAGACCCTAAAACAACAAAAAACCAGAATTGAGAGAGGTTTTCAATAACTAAGTAAGGAGATTAATTGATAAGCTATCAACAAGTCGTCCAAATGATTATATAGGTAAAGAGAGGACTTTACCGAAATGGAAGTCATGCATAGCTTCAAAACTGATGTAGAGTGATGAACATTTTTTATCACCTCATGCAACATTATGCCTCTTTGTTTGATTGAACCGCTATCAATAAGGTTGATACGAACAACTTCTATTGAAAAGAGATTCTCAACAACTATATCCTTCGGCACTGGAGCATTATACTTTAATACTTTGAGACTCGGGCAAGAAATTTTGATTTCACAATTACCATAGCACTCCACATTAGAAATGTTATTTTGCAAAGCAATGTGTACAAGAGACGTGGATGCAATATCAAGCGTGTCATGTCTCCTACACTACACTCTTTTAAGATCAAAGTTTCGAGATTCAAGGACAACGCGACTTATCAAATGCTCATCCGATAACTCGACTTGCTCAAGATGAAGAAATTTCAGCTGATGAAATCCCACAAAATTAGGCAGTTTAAGTACATTCCCAGACAAGTGTAGTTTCAAAACTTGCAACGATTGACTCGTTACAAGACAATACGGTAACTCAAACGTCTCGCTAAGACAAAATTTTAACACAAGTTGTTGTACATTTCGCCTTATAGTCACGTGATTAATCCATCGCAAATTAGCTACCTTATCAAACATAGTATCAAAACAGAGAAGAAACTGAACAAGTTTATTAGTTTCACCTTGGGAAATCAATACCCAATTGATAAAGTCTTTAAATCTCCCAGCTATTACAAAATCACAATACTGTTTGATCCGTTGTGAATAAAACTGATCAATATCAAAGTGCAAGTAAGGCATTGTAGTCCATACATATCTCCATCTTTTCGATAACACACTCAACTGAACCACATCAAAAATTAAGAGAGATGAAAGTATGTTGTGAAGTACATCATCAGGCAATGAGCTTAATCTGTCAATCCCTGTACCGGTACTGGAAATCTTAGGTTTTCTGGTTGATACTTCCATTATAAATTCCGATTTGAATGTGAAAATACCAACAAAATTACCTTGTTACGAAGATATACGATAGGTAGATATGGCACCCTGATAGCAAAACACCAGTCCCGGACTCCCGGTCTGTATGAACCGACGGGAGAGAGTAGAAAAACGGCCTTGTTGTTAGGTTTTCCCAAGAAGGAAAGAATGATAATACAACGTTTTCCCCCCCAAATTATTAAAGTTTGGTTTGGATTATCAATGATAAAATGGGATAATTAAAACATAAAAATTATATTTGTAAATAGGGTGACAAAATAGATAAATAATATGAGTATTTGCATTTATATTATCTATATTAAATGAATAAATGGAGTATTCAACTCATTTAAAAATGAGTAAAAAACGAATAATATTCATTTAGCATTTATATTATTTATATTAAATGAAAAAATTTGACTATTCAACTCATTTAAAAATTAGTAAAAAACGAGTAATATTCATTTAACCATTTAAAAATTGATAATTAAATGAATTGATAAAAGCAAACAACAAAAAAAGTAATAAAGAGTTGAATAGATAATAAAAATATTTTCTTTTCTAAAAAGAATCTATAAAGAAAACATGAAACTTTTTTTTTTACTTTTAATTAGATAGGGGTGGTAGGGTTTTTTTTTTGGGGGGGGGGGTTGATAAATCTTTTTTGGGATGGGTTGGGGGGATGGTAGGGGTTGGGGGCCTGGTAGGGTTGGATGGAATTTTAAATTTTTATAAATAAGATCTCTAATATAATATGGGTAATAAGGTTATCCATATTATTCAATTGGTAAACTTGTTTTATCCATTTAAAATATGAGTCGAGTCGGGTAACTTATTCATTTTTATTTAACTTATTTTTTTTGATCGACTCATATTTGACTCGACTCGCTTGTTTGTCACTCCTATTTGTATGTTATAATTATACTTTGCATAATTACACTTAATAGCAAACATAGATATGTATACTTCGCTATACATATACAAAAAGATAAATGTATGATTTGATATACATATACGAAGAAATCAGTTGTATAATTCGATATGCATATATAAAAGAAAATAATTGTATACAAAAGATCATTGTATAATTTGTATATGTATAAAATGAGAAAGAGAGAAAGACAAAAGAAAATTAGACTGGAGAATATTTGTATTGTATAATTATAATTGTATAGAATGAAGATATATGTATATACATGTATATATATACAATTTTCTCTCGTTTCTTTTCTGTTTGTATAAGCGAGAGTGGCGAGCGAGATCTAAGAGAGGGGGGAGAGAGGAACAAAAATATATGTATATATACAATTCCTCTCGCTTTATACAAACACAAACACATTTTATACATTTGTATTTACATAAAAGCGAGAGAGACGAGCAAGACTACCATCAAACGAGAGTGGTGAGCGATATTTCACCAAAGAAAGAGGCGAAAAGAACAATAGTTTACTATAGGGTACAATTAAATCAAAATATATTTATAATATTTAAATTTAAATTAATAATTCACGATTATATAACATCTCACGAAATTTTTAGCCAAAAATGTAGTAAGTTTTTTTATTGGCCTGAAACTATTTAAAACATAGTGCTCTGGATGGAGTTTGAATTGAAATTGAAAAAAAATTACAATTTATTGAAACTAAAAAAAATGAAGAAAGTCATTTGAATAGAAAAAGCTCTATTCACCCATTTTGTGAAAAGTTTGCAAAGATTTTTTAAAAATCAAAAATTTATAGTCATAATAGTTAAAATTGTGGTTAAATTATATTGAAATTAAATTTTTATTTTTTTTAAAAAAATATTTAATAGGCCATAAAGTCTATCAAAACACCAATAAATTAAAAGACACTAAAAAATAAATAAAAATAAAAATAAAAACTTATGATAAAAAAGAAAATGAAAAGATTTTAAGGATAATTTTATAATTATTTAATCTAATACAAGTGTTAAAATGCTACATATTACAGTAGAGTGGTATGCATTGGTTATACATGACATGAAAAAGTATATCAAATAATGTACTACTAATACACACACCTAATGCATATATTATATTTCCTAATACACTATATTTCAATCCGCTCATTTTCGAGTAGTATATTATATTAAAAAATTTCATTAATCTCATGCCGAAAATCACATTTAAATGCTAAAATCTATTACGACCATCTTATTTAATCTCAAAAATGTTTTTCCCAAAGTATGATTTTTAATTATCTCTTTATTCTATTTACCCCATTTCAGTTGTGCTATATATATAATTACTCTAAACTTATATATATTTTTTGAAAATCAATATTTTGTTTAAGTAACAAATATGCTGCAGAACCAGAATGTTTCAATAAATCGTATTTATTTATTTTACCAAGTCATGAAAACAGATAGCTTATTTTAAAAGAAGTCTAATTAGATTTACATTTTTTTTAAAAAAAATTGTAATATATATTGGAGTTTAATTTATTTTATCTTTTTGTAATTTATATTGAAAATTTTCTATGTACTGTACTTTTTACTTCCACGTTTGATCATCGTCTCTTCAAGTTTTAAAAAAGGGAATTGCAATATTATCTCTCAATTTTTTTTTAATTTTTACTATCAAAATTAAAATGTCTATTTTATTAGTTATTTATTTAATAGTCCGTAATAAATTACCAAATTAAGTTTAATTACAAAATTAACATGTCTATTTTATTAATTATTTCGTTAGTTGGTGATAAGTTACCAAATTAATTTTTAAGTACAAAATTAATCTGTTTTACTAAGTAGGTTATTAGTTAGCCGGTAATAAGTTACCAAACTAACTTTTAATTACAAAATTAACGTGTCTATTTTATTAATCATTTAGTTAGTTGAATAATAAGTTACAAAATTATTTTTTAATAACAAAATTAACGTGTGTGTTTTATTAAGTAGTTATTTAGTTAGTGGGTAATAAGTTAGCAAATTAATCAAAGAGTTTAGATTTTTTTTGTGAACTTCCTAAAGAAATTTAAAACTAGGAAATTACGATGACTGAAGAACATGAAGTTGAAGAAGGAGAAAGATATGATGATATAGACATTGATGCTAAGATTCTAACTCGCAACTTTCAGGTTGAAAGTGAGGGGTGTTTACCATCCGAGCAACTCCCTCTCGTCAATGTAGTTCAAAACTGTCTTCGGTTTCTAAAGAATATAATTCCGAGTCACAATTTGGTATCTGTAATTCCATTCCAGTCCCCTAAATCCATGAATCTTAGTTACAAGTCAGACCAACATTCTAAAACTCAATGCTTGATTCTTAAAAATTACAAATTAAAATTAATGAGTATAAAAAATATGGGGAGATTGATTTGCATACTATAATTAAAAAGTGATTTTCAAATTTAATATTTTAATCATAACTAAGATGTTTGTTAAATTAATCTAATCTTGACCTTTAAAAAATATATTAGATAACTCGTAAGTGTTTAAATGTGTGCATGAGGAAAATGGAGGGAAAGAAATCTGATCCAAAATAAATTAAAACTTTTTAAAGGATGGAATATCCTTTTTCTCCTTTGACAAAAGTACCCTTGCGATATCCCAAAACTGAGCCAATAACTGAAAGGTAGAGCTGTAAATATTCCCAAACAGAGCCACGGCGAGGGGCAATTTTTTTGTAACAAACTCTGTGTATATAACGAACTATAAACACAGCTCACGTTCTTCCTGCTTCTTCACCAAATTTCCGATTTCGTTTTCTCTCTGAAGCAAAAAAAAAACTTGAAGTTCTCAGAGATGAATGCCGTGAAAGCTTACTTCAACAGGAATTGGACAAGAGAAGACCTGATGAATACTGGAGAAGTTTCCGCGTACGCTTACACAAGCTTGACGACGGTATATTTATTCTTACTGTTTCATTTTTTCTTTCTATTTGATCACAAATGTAAGAATTATTGTTCTACTTGATTAAAATGTTGTTATTTAAAAAACTTGTAATCGAGGGATTGTTCTGATTAAAATGTTGTTCTGATTTTTCTATTTCGTTATCGTGTTACTGATAGCTGTATCAGGAGATCTACTTGGAATCGATTTGTTTTACAGTTTCTTGTAGTTCTAGTAAGAAATTAAGGTTACGTTCTACTTGCTTTACTTGATTATTCAGGATTTATGATGAATTCTGATTTTTCAAAACATCTTACATGTATTACCGTAATGTTTTCTCTTCTTTTGTACTTGCTTTACTTAATTCTTCAGGATTCATAACGAATTTTGATTTTTCTGAATATTTTACTGGTATTGCCATATTTTTTTACTTAATTATGCTGTTAGTGATAACTGATAACACGAATAGAGTTTTGGTATTGAAACCTTGCTCTTATTCAGGCCTGAAAGTTTTTTTTTTTTTGAAATAGTTAAAATGAAACGATTGCCACGTGCTTTCGAACTTCCCAAAATGAATTTGTTTCATTTAAATTTGGACAGAAGGATTAATTTGTTTCGTGCAATTTCAGGTTTCAGAGTCTTGTTTTTTATCTTTTCTTTCTTTGCAAAACCTGGTTAGCTGGAAAAGATGTATTTTAGTTTCTGCTTCTAAGTATTGGATTCTGCTTTATTCCTTGATTGATTAGTTTGCTGAAAATATAGGTGTATCTTAATCTCTTCTGTGCCATGTTGAACTTTACTTTTGGATCGTTCTTGCACTTGATCATCTGGGAAGTGGGAGGGCTGTTCACAGTCCTTTCTTCTCTAGCAAGTTTACTCTGGCTTTACTTTGCATCACCATTGAGAGTGGTACGTGATCTGTGTCTTGTAGATTTTCTTCCAAGAGCCTGAATTAAAGTTATTGAAGTCGCTTCTTATATCGTAAATCTTCTGTCTATGCAGAGGCTGAGGCTCTCACTATTGATGTATGCAGCCTGTACCTTGGGTGCTTCTTTTGGCCTTTTTACCAAATATCTCTTCAAAATTTATCCACCGTAAGACTCAAAAGATGCTATACATTGTTCAGATATCTTCTTTTGAAGTTTGATATGGCTCATGAAGAGTGAACTTAAATAATTTACCACTGATTCCTGAAGCCTTTCCTAGTATGACAAGACATTTGCTAGCTCTTTCATTTCCTACATTTTAAAATTCAATAGTTGATTATCTCTGGTTGTTCTGTCTTCTTTATTGAAGAATATCTAACTTCGGAAAGCATTCCTTGCTCGCTGTCCAGCCTTATTGTCAACCTTTTGGAAGCTTCAACATTTAGCATTGGGATTATCTGGTATGGATCCACGTATACGAGGGAAAGGAGAGCAATCTACATGACTTGCCTGAATTTTTCTTTTGCTCTAATGTGCTCCAGCATTTTTGTTTATGGTATAGATATGCTTGACATCCACACAGTTTATTGGGCGTTTAAGGTAAGCAGTTGGATCCTATTATAACACAGTTCCCGCGTCAATAAATCATTACTTCTGTCTAACGAATGAA